CTCTATCATATCCCCCCTCAGTCTCCTCTTTTCTAAGCTGAAAAGTCCCAGTCTCTTTAGCCTCTCTTCATATGGAACCTGTTCCAAACCCCTAATCATTTTAGTTGCCCTTTTCCGAACCCTTTCAAAGGCCAAAATATCTTTTTTCAGGTGAGGAGACCACATCTGTACATAGTACTGAAGATATGGCATACCATAGTTTTATACTTCCCCTCCTCCTTGTTCCCCTGGCTTCCCCCTTCCAGCTCCCTCCTCCAAGGTTTCCCCCTCCCCTCTCCCACCCTCTCTCTTCCCCTCTCCCACCTCCTTTTCCCAGTCTCCCCGAGTTTTGTTCAATAAAGAGAGTTTCTATTTTTGAACACACGTGTCCTTTATTTTGTACATCAGGAAGGGGGGACTAGGGAGGGGTAAGTGGAAGGAGGTGAGGGAGGAATGGGGTACGAGCCCCCGATGGGGAGGACTGGGGTGACTTCGGGCTCCTCGGGGTGGAAGATGTCCTGCAGGGTCTCCTGGATCCTGACAGCCCGCTGATAGAACCTCCCGGATGGCAGCCTGCAGCAAGTGCAGCCGGGCTGATGCCCGAATGCTGCGATGTGCCGAGTGCAGGCACTCAGGGCACTCCAGGACAGGAGTGCTTTGCTGTCCCTCATCGAGGTAGACAAGCAAGCGGGGAACCCTGAGAACTGTCTGTCTGGGGTGGGGGTCGGGTCCCTTTAAGCACAGCCCTCGGCTAGCCTGAGACAGCAGCTCCACGCTCTAAGTCCTAATCTGATGCCCTGCCGGCACTGCTTCCGGCCATCCTTAACTTCGGTTCAGGGTCCACTCTGTGTGGACATGCTAGTTCGAATTAGCAAAACGCTAATTCAAATTACTTTTTAGGTCTAGATGCACTAGTTCGAATTAGCTTAGTTTGAATTAGTGCTGTAGTGTAGACATACCCCAGGAGAGTTTCTCCCATCAACCCAGTTCAGTGTAGACACTGCAATAAGTCAATCTGAGCTATGTCGACTCCAGTGACATTATTCATGTAGTTGGAACTGTGTAACTTAGGTTGACCTAACTTCACAGTGTAGTAGACCTGTCCATAGAGTTTAAGGCCAGAAGGGACCAGCAGATCATCTCTGTCCATAGTGTTTAAGGCCAGAAGGGACCAGCAGATCATCTGGTCTGATTCCCCAGTGTACCACAAGACACCACCAGCAACCACACAAGAAATGCAGTATCTGAAATTAGACTACAGTTTTACAACCCACATGAGACTAGATAATTATGTGATCCATGGGCAGATAACAGAATGGTCTGAGGTATTCAAGTGTTTGAGGGCCCCTCACTGGCAAGGAAATGAATAATCCTGGCAAATGACCTGAACCCACTTGCTGCAGAGGAAGAGGGAAAAAAACCCACAAAGTCACTTCCAGTCTGACCTGGGAAAAATTTCTTCCTCACCTCATACATGGCAATCAGAGAGACCCTGAGCATGTGAGCAGCAGCCAGCCAGCTAAGCACCTGAGCCAGACATTGCTCTTCCTGCTAGTGTTAGTCTCCCAATCTGGGTTATCCCCATTCAGTCTCTAGGACTATCAAGCCATCACTAGTTCCTGTGTGATATTTATTTTAAAACAAGAAACAACAAGATTCCCCTTGCTCTCATAAACACCTCCACTTCGGAAGGAAGGGGCAAGGACTGTTGCATAATCACCCCATTCCAAGATTTCAGTACCAGGGAACTTATGAGCCTTTTATCTAACTCCATAGAGCTTGTACTAGCATTTGATTCACTTAAGGACCCTAGATCCTAGATATTGTGATGGAAGGAGCAGGTTAGCTTCTTTTAGCTTGTGATGTGCCAGAGCAGCAGAGCTGACAGCAAGCAGAACCACTTAAGGTGCCAGATGCCTACTGGCTTGGCTTTTGATCTTCCTGCCCTTTGCTTTGCGGTAGTCACACAGAGATGAACGGGAGGGGCCCTGCTTCTCTTTATTCCTATTGCACACATTGATTTATACCTTTTCTTCTTCTTACTGCACTTGCTTACATACTTTCCCACTGCACAGAATCACTCCACACATTCTGTCTGCTTGCCTTGGGCTTTCCCTGCCCTGCTGATAGGCAAAAAGGCATTTTAAAGCTATGGGTGACCAGAGTGTCTTTTCCCTGCTCTACTTTGTGTGATATCATAGAATCATAGAATACTAGGACTGGAAGGGACCTCGAGAGGTCCTCGAGTCCATCCCCTGCACTCATGGCAGGACCAAATACTGTCTAGACCATCGCTGATAGACACTTATCTAACCTACTGTTAAATATCTCCAGAGATGGGGATTCCACAACCTCCCTGGGCAATTTATTCCAGTGTTTAACCACCCTGACAGTTAGGAACTTTTTCCTAATGTCCAACCTAAACCTCCCTTGCTGCAGTTTAAGCCCATTGCTTCTTGTTCTATCCTCAGAGGCCAAGATCAACAAGTTTTCTCTCTCCTCCTTATGACACCCTTTTAGATACCTGAAAATGGCTATCATGTCCCCCCTCAGTCTTCTCTTTTCTAAACTAAACAAACCCAGTTCTTTCAGTCTTCCTTCATAGCTTATGTTCTCTAGACCTTTAATCATTCTTGTTGCTCTTCTCTGGACCCTCTCCAATTTCTCCACATCTTTCTTGAAATG